TTGCTTAAGCCCAAAGCATCAGTTTGTGATACAGTTCCAATTTCTCACACAAAGGACACCAATAAATAAAATTTTCTTAGAAAGTGAATAAAGTTTTTGGCTTGCGGCAGCCATTAAAAAAGAGAAAATCAAGACCCCATTTTCAGAATGGGAAAAGCATTCCAAGTGAGACCGTTCGCTTGCCCCAGACATGTATTTGTGATCCTGGTGTATACAATATCTAACACCCACACCTCCAGCAAAGTGTCATCAAGGAACCAGGTTTGGTCAGCTGATGGTATATGAGATGTCATAGGTGTGGGGTTGGTGCTGCCAGCTCCATTGTGTACCGGACTCGGTGTGAGAGAGAGAAACAGATGGAAACGTGAGATGTTAGTGAGAAAAGGAACAGGACAGACTGCACTGCTGGCTTTGCATGGAGCTGGAGAGAGTGGGTCCCAGGCCACTCACTACCTTACGTACGTCGCTTAATTTAGCTATTGTCTCATCTGAAAAGTAGGGATTGGTAATAAAGGCTTGAGGTTCACACAGCATTAAATTGAACTGCCCAGGTCGAGAAAGCACTTTTCACTTTGTCACATACTCCAAGAGTTGGCTGCTGCTATTCCCAGGAAGCTTCTGGCCTAAGGTCTTCCCTTCCCTTCAATCTCCCAGCCCAGGGGTGAGCTGCCCCACAGTACAGATCCACACAGCCCCGGGGGGGGGATGTGGGGAGTGTGAAGGCACCCTGGAAAGCCTCACCTGTGGCCACGCTGGGGAGACAGGACCCCAGGGCCTGTCCACAGCCGAGGCCTGGGAGCTCACGGAGGCGGGTAGGCCTGGCCGCCATGATGGTGGCCTCTTGGCGGCTGCGCGCTGCCATGGGAGTGACCTGTTGGTGAGAAGCCGCGCTGAGCTGGGGGTCCCTCTCGGGAAAGCTCAGTCATCACACAGAGTGGGTGGGGGCTCCCGTGAGGGCCTCCATTGGATTCCTTCTGCAGTTGGGGGACAGTTTTCTTACAGGAAGACCCCACACCCTGCTCCTATGTCCTCCTTTGTCTGTGCTCACATGGGCCCTGTGCTCTCCCTGGGGAAGGGGTTCCTTGTGCCCATGGGCGTGGGTAAGGACGATTTCGATGCACAAGGAGGCGCTGCTTTTCCACAGGCATGGGGGTGGGGTGGGGGGATGGGAATCCATCGCAGGGAGGACAGGCATCCGGCCCCTTCCTCTGGTTCCTCTACAAGCCCTTCAGCTCAGCAACACTGAGCCTGTGAGCCACTGTGAGCACCCTGAGCAACCTGGGCCACTGTGAGCACCCTGCGCTGTCCTGTCTACTCTACACCTCCCCTGCATGCTTTTTCCCTCTGGGTCCCTCCTCCCTTCTCCTGGCAGACGCACCAGCCTCACTTTCTCTGCTGTGGGGCCTGAACTTGTCTCTTGCTCCCCTGTCCTTGCAATTTTCTCCCAGGCTGAGTGTGCCATGGCCTGGAAGCCACCACTACCCTCTCCCCTCAAATTCCCTACCCCCCCCCACCACTCCCCTCGTGCACGGCTTCCTCCCTGGGCCCAGTTTGAACAATCACAGCCCCTTCAAGTCTTCACAGTCAGGGCTGGTGGTTTCCAAAGCAGCTAAGACCCCGCAGATGATACGGTCAGCACTCAGACGACGTCTCAACTCCTGCTGGGGCTGGGGCTGGGGGTCTTCTCTAAACTGTCAGCTGTGTTGTGGGAGAGGATGCTATGTTGTCGATTATCTTCTAAGCTTCTCTGAAGACCAGAGAGAGTGCGCCATCCGCTGTACTCTGAAGATAAATTCCCCCCGGGGAGCAAGAGCCCACATGTCTGCCCAGCCTCCCCTAGAAAGGGAAACAGCAGAGGAACCCCCTCTGGGCCAGCGGGGGCTGCAAAGCTGGGCCCCAGAATTGCTCCAACATGAGATTTTATGAAAAACGCCCATTCCAGAGGCAGCCAAACTGAAAAAAAAAAAAAAAATACAGGGAGGGACATAAAAAGAAACCCAGTAAATTAAACATCAGGACAAAACCAATGCTCAGAGATGATTCTTCATTGTTTCCATCCTTTTCATGGGCAGATAGGAGGATGGCCTTGGGCCAGTGCAGCTCAGCTGGTGTCGCCCAACGGACCTGAGCAAAGATCATCACAAGAATTAATAGATTTATGGGTGGAAGGAAAATGCCAGGCCATTTTAGGTAAATTCACAGAGCAGAAGGAAGCCATTCTCCTGCCAGCCACACATGTTAATGGAGTCACCTGCCTTGGAATCCCATTTAGTGTTGACTAATTCTGTCAATACATTCTTCCTGAAAGTTCACCTAAACTCTTTACGCTATGATTCAAGCCACACCCTCTTACTCGGCGCTCCTAAGAAGAGGGGGCACCATTTCTGTGTCAGCTACTAGGATGCAGGGCACTAAACCCACCACCATCACTTCTCTCTTTTCCAGCCAGCCAGCGAGGACTTCCTGGCCACCATGCAGCAGACTCCTCAACTTTGTCTCACGGCCCTGTGTCAACTCAAGGCCGCCATCAGCCTGTCCACAGACACACCCCCTCACATGCCAGTGCCCTCTCCTGGCCCTCCTCCCTCTGTCACATTTAATCAGACCATCCTGGGAGGGAAGGTTCTCTCTAAAATAACAAACCCCACCCCAAAACATAAAACATGGGCATAACGATAATCTCCAGGGCAGCCTGTTGTTTCCCGTCACCCCTGACACGCTATTTTCTTATCGAATGACCAGCCTCATTTTGACTTTCCCTTTCTCATTAGTTAACTCCTCAGTGAACTGATTTCTTCTCAATCGTGGATATCACTTTTTTTTTTTTTTTTTTTTTAAGAAGGCTGCAGGCTCAGCACAGCGCCCAACCTGGGGCTCGAACTCACAACCCTGAGATCAACACCTGAGCCGAGATCAAGAGTTAGATGCTCAACCGACTGAGCCACCTAGGCACTCCATCCATGGATATCACTTCTGGATCTTTTCTCTACCACTTTGTTTACTTGTTTACTGTCTCACACTGTAGGAGCCTCTTGGGAAGACTCACCTTTACCTTACACTTTATTTCACCGTAAGGGAAAAGACCCAAGTTTGTAGCTGAATGGGAACTTCTCTTGTTTTGGCGCCAACATTTTCCTGGAAACATCTGCATTATCTTCAGGAAAGAAACCAAACCTAGAATGCCCCCAGAAACAATGGCCTCTGTACTCATGACAGATGATAACCCAGGGAGGGCGGGTAAGGGACTTGCCATCATGACTCCATCTTGCTTCCTGTCACCTGCCCCAACACATCCCTGACTTCTCAGAACCTCTAATCCCCCGTCACTCTCCAGCAGGCCCCTTCCCAATCCCACACCTTTGCAGTGCCTAGAACGTAACTGAAAATTTTTTTTTGCCCCAGGATTAAGTTCTTTGGCCTTGGACAAACTGTTATCTTTTGATGAATGGTTAGACTGACTTACAGTACAAAACTATAAGACAGGCCCTCCCATCCCACCTTCCCACTGGGGACTCCTATCTTTCACCAGCCTAGAAAATTTTTCTGCTTACTTACCTCTACCCAGCAGCCTAAAACACTCCCATGGACAGGAAGGCCAGTGACCACCTTTTCTTGTCTGCCATGGGGGTGAGCAGCCCTGATGGTCATCTCTGGCCTCTGACATCCTGGGTCCAGAGCACACTGGAAAGGTCCACCAGCGATGGCCATCGGCCGGTGTCGGCAGAACCAGTGAACAATCACAGTGATGAGCTATTTTTTTTTTTAATTTTTCACCAAGATCTCTAGAAGGCAAGTAGTTTATCATTTCCCCTCCCCGCAATGACACAGCGTGACAGAGTGCAGGATGCTGGGATGCCGGCTCTTTCCCATGCCCCGGAGCTCCTGCAGGAGGCCCCAGGGAGCCCAAAGCAGGACCCACGCTGTGTGTCCTCTGCAGATCGTAGGTGCTCAGTCCACACTCAGTAGCACCAGCACCGCTGACGTCCTCACTGTCCAGAAGATTCCACTTTGGATCCCTAGATCCAGAGAGGGGTCCAGATCGGGATTTCAGTCCGGGGTTATCCTCCAGAGGCAAAGAGCAGGTGCCATGGCCGAGGCAAAGGCTTCTGACGCTGCCAAAGTCTAATGACTGAAGACCAGAGGGGAGGCAGGAAGAATAGCGAGGTCAAGGAACCCCGGGATTGTGGGAGAGACGACTTCTTAAAAACAAACGCGGTGTGCGGAGCACAGTGTTCACAACAAAAGAGAACTGCTTGGGATCCCAGACCCGAGCAGGCGGAAGCAAAGGCTGGGCTAACAAAGCCAGAACTTGGTTCACAGTAGACAGTCCTAATCTAAAATTCTAGAATTTAAGACCAATATCTTTTAAGAACGAGAATTCATAACCCCATCAGACCAGCTGACAGCAAAAGGAAAAAAGGAATGTTCTCCATTAAACAAAACCACACAAAAGTCAACGCAATCTTTCTCCACTCCCAATCTCCCGACCACCTCCCACCCTCTTAAAAAAAATATATCGTGAGAGTCAGGCACACTGGCACGCACGCAGATATGCAAACAAAATACAAAATACCCCAGGTATTGTATAAGTGTTTTTCACTAGCTCCCCAGATGTTCCTTCTGTTATTCTAGGAAAAAAAAAAAGCGTCAGGCTCTGACAGGTATGTCTAAGCGTAAAGACCGAGGTCGGCCGAGATCCCCTTCCTCAGCCTCCTTGCTTAGTAGTCAACATGGACTAGTATCGACAATAAGTCAAGAATGAGGGCCAAGGCTGGTGTTCCGTGGAAGGCGAGCTGCCTTGTCGTCCCGCAGCCCGGGGGCTCTCACCAGGGAGCGCTAAGCTGGGTTCACGCATCAACCCTGCCCGTGGGCTCTGCTCCAAAGCGTGAAGCTCAGGAAGGAGTGTGTGGGGAAGCTATTTCTGGAGGCAAAGTCTTACTGCTTGCAGGAGGGCGAACACAAACCTGAGGCAAACCATCGTGAGATATCTGAGGAAAGGACATGTAGCCCAACACTGCACTTTCCAGAAAATCACTCTATGAGGAAAGCGGGGAGGACATCGATCTGCCCAGGAGGCCGATTCCGAGAGTTTCCCTGGTTGTTGGCCTAAATCAGTGGAGCAGTCCACTGTTTCTGACCAAGGTCTGTCATCTGAAACGCAAAAGCATTTGTTTCCAGATGGTGAGACTCTCCCACTCCACAGGCCTCCCTGAAGAGCCAGGCTGGGAAATGCGGGAGAACCAGATCGCATACTCGCTGCTCCCCGGGGCGCAATGAAAGCTTGAAAAATCTGTTTCTCTGCCTTATCATACATGCCTCTCCCCCACGTTTTGTAGAATAAATAATTCAAAATAGAATGAAAAACTCAGGCAAAGACAGTTGCTGGCCTAAAAATGTGCTCTGCCTCTTAACAGTGACTCATAAAAGTCACACTCACAATTCGTTCCCAGGCTCAGGCGTGGAGAGGCAAGCGTGATGTGCCACGGCAGCACAGGGTGCCCTGGGACAGAAGACACCAGCGAGACCCCAGTCCGAACCCTTATATATTAAATTTATCTTCATAAATAGAGCATCCTAACTCAAGTGACCACAATAGAAGGCCAAAGTCTGAGTTCTTGTTTTCCTCAGAGATCTACACAAACCTTCAAATGTCTACTAAACTCTACCCACATGGCAAACTTGACGCCTCTCTAGGAGAGCTTCAGTCGCCATGATAGTCAAAGGCCAAGTCTCAGACAGACCGAAATACCCATCCCTATTGGATAACGAGGACTGAGATGAACAGCTCACATTGGCTCATGAGAGAATTCCTTTAAACCAACGCCCAATTAATTTGCTTTTAAACGATTTGATCCCCCTCCTTTGCAAACATGTTACATACACAAGGTTTCAAGGTTACACCTATGGTATGAAATGGGCCCATGAGACCAATGGATGTGGTCTAGTTGGCTCAGCTGCCTTGCCTGCCCATTTGTTGACTTGATTACCTTTCTCAGGGATGAGTCTCTGGGCCATATTGTTCATCCTTAATGTAGGAAGCAGTATCATACCGATAAAGACTGAAGGGCTAGGTATCTGGGTTGAGGTTTATCTCGATGGTTGCCTTAAAGCCTATCTTCTAGCCATCTTAGGAAATTTGGGTTAAGTTTCCCTCTTATCCTCCCCTGTCAAGAATATATTCATTTTGCTCAATCACAGTAGACCACTTTGGTTAGAGGACTGTGACCACTACAAGACACTGGAGCAAACAGATGAACAGCCCATTGGAAAAATCGAGGGTGGGGAATCCCCCATGGAGACCTCATAGCTCATCCCTCGAAGGCACCGTGTCCAGGGAGGTTGGCGACGGCAGGGCCTCTGTGTTCTTGGCATTGCGGTGGATATGACCTTGCTTCCGGGACTTCCAGGAATGGGTCCTGTCCCAGTCGGTGGCCACTGTCTCATTGTCCCAGATGGTCGAGGTCTCTGTGTCACTCAGATACCCCGGCTGGCCCGTGTAGTGTGTGGGGTAGATGAGCAAGGGTTCCGCGGAGAAGGCCTTCAGGTCCCTGGGTTCGTAATACTCCTTGTACTCAGCTCTGCAAACAAGAGGAGTATGCGTGCATGAGTGAGGGGCTATGACATTTAGCAAATGGTGTGGGGGCGGGAAGAGCAGAGAGGCTGTGCTGGTCATCTCTTACATTGTCATGGACATCTCTGATGATTTTTCAAGTTGTGCCCTTTGGGGAAACGTTTAGTCTACAAACACAACAGAAGTTTCTTTAAAAGTTTTCAAATGATCTAAACAAACACGCAAAAAGAAGGGTTATTTCTGCTGTATTTGGTTGGATTCCTCTAAAAGATGAATTTCAGGTCTCACTCTAAAAGCTAAGAATTAAGCTCTGTTGGACCATCCTGAGAGATAAAGGTGATCACTTTGCAGAAGATGCCCTATTCTTGGATTAATAAATTAGTTGAGATCTGAACAGCAATGGTGGGATAAGTCACACAGTTAGGCTTGGAGGCACGCCAGCTTGGCTTTGCATCCCAGCATCCTGTGGGTGTGAAGGGGAGGATGACTCACTCCCCCCTCCCCCATGCGGATTATGCGAGGTGACATCTGCTTGGCTCCTAGCTCAGTTAGTACAGTGTAGGTGTTAGCTTCCTGTCTGTCACAGGGATGATGGGTGACCTCCATATTCCTGATAGGACATGGATATAAAGTCAGAGGTATCAAAGCAGGTGAGGACACCCATCTTTACCGAGGACAGGGACAAAATAAGCCAGATGCAGGACACAAATTCTTAACTACTAAAATGAAGCCCAGTTAGTAAAGAGATCACCTGGCAACTGAGAGAAGGAGCCAAGGTTAGAACCTGGGTTCCTGCTCCATTAATGAATTTAGGACTCGTTGATTGAGAAGCTATTATGGGTAAAGTTGGGATTAGGTTTTCAGGACACGGGGATGTGAGACTGTTCCTGCCTCAGTGGGCTCACAGGTTAGACGGGAGACTGACAGATAAACCACACATCTCCATATCCTTCAAACAATGCTAGGTCTGAATAAGCTCCTGTGTTAGGGCAACCTTGAGCGTCACCCTGACCGCCATCTTCCATGGACACCCTGCTCAGGGGCCACCTCCTGCCTCCCAGAGACTCAGACACACCGCTGTGATTGCAGGTCTCACCGTACATCACGAGGACTGCCCATGAGTCTCAATTCTCAGCCAGACTGTGAGCTCTGCAGGGAGTGGGACCCCTGTCTGGCCAACAAGTACACACAATGGACTGAAAAATGAACTGAACGCTTGAAGGTGCTCAGGAAGATGACCTTCATCTTCACCTTCGGGTGTGCGAGTTTATGGAAATGAGAAGATCAAAAACAAGGGGAGGACTGAGCACAATATGTCCAGGTAAACTACACACTGGGTTTATTCCAGAGGAGCCCCCACAACCCCGCCGCCAAGCCTCGGCTTCCCCATCTGTACAAGGGGACAGTCACTCTGGTCAGCCTTTCTGAGTCATGATTAGGGGAAGATCATTTAGGAAAGCAGCACAGCTTTAGAAAACACCACACACTACTGAGAACCTGAGGAGCACGGCATATGAGTGGGGTGTGCCCGCGACGAGCAGGCGGTGCAGGGAGACTCACACAGGATGCTTGTTGTACATGACTGGCAAGAACTCGTCCACTGGTAGCATCTTCCCAAAGGGATCAGCTCCAACCAGCTTCTGTGCTCCTTCCAGAGAGATGACATAGCCCAGCGTCCAGTAGGAGTAGTCGGCTTCGACCAGATTCCCCACGTTGGGCACCGCTTTCTCCGGCTCCTTCACCTGCATCCTCTTCCTGCCGATATAACTAGAAGAATGCGGATGGAGGAGAAAATCCCAATTTGAATATCAGACCTCTGGAAGAACAGAGCACAGGTTTTGCAGATACTTTTGAAAGCTGGGACTTATTGCGTCTTACATCAAAAGTATCACCACAACCTGCATCCAATCACCAATGACGACTGGCACCTTCCGTGAAGGGGGGCCATTTTCCTGGCCCCGTTTGCCAACATCTCAACTGCTCCTGCTCTGCGCTGTGCTCCAGCCTGGAAGTTCAAATCTAGAGAGACTAAAAGATCCCTCTGATCATTTCCCAAAGATGGTATGGGACTTCCAGCTGTGTTTACAATGTTGGAAGTAGACAAAAAAGGGGCAGAGGTGAGGTCCTGAGTTTTCAAGTCCCTAGAGTTTCAGCCTTTGATGGTCTCCAGAAAGCTCTCCAGATGCTGGCAGTAAACACAGGACAGAAAAAGCTGTGGGGAAGACACAGTCTACAGTCTACGGTCAAAGACCTTGCAACCCAAGTGGCCCCAAGGGAGTCCTTCCTGGGGAGAATGAGTGACTAAGCCTGCCTGGCTTTCTCTTCCTCACGCACATCTAGCTCTGCCCTCACTTTGCTCTGAGAAAAGCACCCAAGCAGGGCCGGTCCTTCTCCAACAGCTTCTGCAACAGAAGATATACACTCGGCCAGTCCCGCTTTCCCAGAGTCTACTATGGACCTGTGATCCATCACCTTTCTCTGGAACCTGCTTGTTTTCCACCTGCCTGGAGCAAGCTGAGGAGGGGAGGGCTTCCTGCCTGGGGGTGAAGTTGCTTTCCTCTATTTTGCCTTAAGACACTCTCTTCCAGCATTCAATAGATTGCTCTTGTCAAGACTTCTCGGGATTCGTAGCATGTGTCGTTGCTCACCTTCTCAGGACACCAAACACAGACCCTCTCAGCCACTGTCCCTTCAGACCAAACCATCCAGAATTTCTCTCATGGACCATCAGGGAGAAGAGAAACTCCCACTGAGCGCTTGACAGGGGGCTAGAGGGCCAGGGCCTGAGTTTGTACTCAATGGGTTCATTGAACATAGTTTAAGTTAAAATTTTAAAAATAAAACTGAAGAAGTGTAAAATATTTTTTCCATTATACAAAACTGTTTTGGTAGGATTGCAGTTTATTGCAGCAGCTGAAAACTTAGCTGAGATGTGTCATAAGCATAAAATACACACTGGATGTTAAAGATGGTGGAAAAGGGTGCCTGGGCGGTGCAGCCAGTTAAGCGTCTGACTCTTGGTTTTGGCTCAGGTCATGATCTCAGGGTCCTGAGATCAAGCCCCATGTAGGGCTCCATGTGGGGTGTGGAGCCTACTTGAGATTCTCTCTTGCCCTCTCCCTCTGCCTCTCTCTCTCTCTCCCTCTCATTCCCTCTAAACAAACAAAAAATGAAAAAGCTTTAAAACAGACACAAAAACAAAAAGCAATGTAGACTATCTCATTAATAGTTTTAAAATATTGATTACATGTTAAAGTAATATTTAGCGATGTTGGGGTAAATAAAATGTATTATTAAATTCACCTAATGTATTTTTTACCATTCGAATGGGATCACTAGGTATTTTCAAATAATGTATGTGGCTCCTGCCATGTTACTGTTGGGCAGCACTGCCCTAGATGATTCCAATGGTTTGTTCGACTCTTCCCATTTACTATTTCTTTTTTTGGGGAGAAACGTAACATAGCAGCCACGGACAGCTTATCAGCTTTCATGTTTTGAGCTTCAGGAACATTTTTTTGTTGTTGTTCATTTTAGAACAGGATAGGTGAGGGGTGCCTGGGTGGCTTAGTCAGTTAGGTGTCTGACTCTTGGTTTCAGCTCAGGTCACGATCTCAGCATTGTGTGATCAAGCCCTGTGTTGGGCTTTGCACTCAGTGCAGAGTCTGCCTAAGATCCTATCGCTTCCTCTTGCTTACCTCCCCGCAATGGCTTGCATCCTCTCTCTGTATCTCTCTTGGAAGGAAGGAAGAGGAGTAGGGAGGAAGGGAGGAAGAAAGGAAGGAAGGAAGGAAGGAAGGAAGGAAAGAAGGAAGAGAAAAGAAAAATTTGAAACCACCGTCATTCTTTAATAGTATATAAACAATATTAGTGGCATATTTTGACTTGATCAGTCTGTGAAATTTAGAAAAGATTTTTGTTTTGTGTCTCTATCATTCCCTCTATCCATGTCCTTATCCAATCATTCTGCTTTCTTGGATCTGTTGTTTGTTTGTTTTTAAGATTATTTATTTATTTATTTGTCAGAGAGAGAGAGAGCACAAGCAGGGGGAGAAGCAGGCAGAGGGAGAAGCAGGTTCCCCACTGAGCAAGGAGCCCAACGTGGGACTCGATCCCAGGACCCTGAGATCATGACCTGAGCTGAAGGCAGATGCTTACTTGACTGAGCCATCCAAGTGTCCCAAATTTGTTGGTTTTTTTGTCCCAAGAAATGTACCAGCTAAACCACAGGTGGACAAGGACATGTGTCAGTCATAGGGCTTAGGCTCCCCAAGTCGAGTCCTCTGATTCCAAGTCTGAAGTAAAAGTTGCTTTTTCAGGTCCTGTGAGCATAAAATGACTTCTGGGCTCCATGCCCGTGAGGAGCAGCCGCAGACGGCAGAGCTAGAGACTCAGACCGAGGTGCGGGGCCTTCTGGAGGATTACAGGAACAGACAAGGATCCTAAGGGACAGTGCAGAATCTAATCACACGGCTAACATCTGAGACGGAGCCAGTGTCTTGATATTACACGGTACTGATTTCTGGGTCTATTCCCCATGGGTTAGTTGAGTCACTACTAGGTTTCTTTTGGGCTCAGAATGGTGCATTTTCTGAAAGAACAAGTATTTCACTTGGGCCCATAGCTCCGTTTCCCTCCGAGGATGGGAGGAGTCGGGACAGCTTGTCTGCTGCAGCCGCTCCAAAGGAACAGGCTCTGATTTGATGAAATTGCCTTTGACACACAGCTGGGAAGTGTACATAATGCTTGGGAACTTTCCGCCTCACTGGACAGAAGTACAAAATGTCATTTGGCTTAAAAAGAAAGAGAGAGAGAGGGAGGGAGAGACAGAGAGAGGAGAGGAAGAGAGGGGGAGACAGGGAGATGGAGAGAGAGAGAAAGAGAGGGCGGAAGGGAGAGAGGGAGGGTGAGGGAAAGAGAGAGAGACTTACTTCCCAGAGACATCAGAGCATCAATAAATGTCAATTCAGAACCAGCATTACCTTGGTAAGCCTGATTTTCCTATGATGAGCTCTGACCCTCCACCGAACTCAGCTCAGTGTTCTTACTGTTTGCACACTTCCCTTCCCAAGAGAGGCACTCTCGTGCAGACCTTCAGCCCCCAGACTGTCAGAGGCTACAGAGGAAACCTGCTTTCAAGTGTGACACAGGACTCTTGGCCTTGAATGAATGCCTCCCCCTCTCTCTTCCCACCTCTCCAGGCACTGCTATTTCACTGGGGGGGGGTTTCTGCTGTGCTTCCACACGAGCGCTCAGTCTGAAGACCCCTGACCAGCAGGCAGACTCTGGGTCTCCCAAAGAATCTCCCATAATTTCTTTCTCAGCCCACAGAGTACACAGATCCAGAAACCGGGGGCTACCGTCCACTCACTTCCTGTGTGTGGGAACATCTGTGGAGAGAAAGTCAGGAAATGGAAGCGGGAGCTGTGTCTCCGATCAGCTGGGGAGGCGGGGCTTGCTGCCCCTTGAATAGGACTGAATCCTCTCAATGCCCTGGGATAAGCTTGTCTTGTCACTCACATCAGTTCCCAATCCAGCTGAGCCCGGTCAATGTCATCCATCAGCTTCATCAGCTTCTTCTTGAACTGATGCTCGAAGCGCACGTCATCTTCAATAACCAGGGTCTTCTCCAGCTCTCGGTCGATCACCTGTAGAGGTCATCAGTGGGAAAAGACCTCATGAGAAGTCCAGTGCCTATTTTTTATTAAGGTAAGTATATATTAAAATGTCGAGAAGACAGAAGCAGGGTAGGTAATAGCTCATTACTGGAGTCTAAGCAAATGCCATCAGGGGTAGATTGTTTAAATAAACTGGGGTCTGGTTTCCCCAGTGAGGATGTACGATCTATAATCAAATGCAACGTTATAAGATGAACCTCCCAACTGTGGTCCTGGGAGGATATACCTCAACACCCATTCGTGGTTCCATTCGTGTAAACGAAAGTACAGTAGACAAAATTATTTTGGCCTGTTAGAAGTCAAGACGGTGATTACCCTTGGGGACTGTTTCCCTAGAAGGAAATATGGAAGATGTGCTTCTGGGGTGCTGGTAACCTGTTTCTTGATCAGGGTGCTGGTTGACATGGCTGTATTGTTATCCCATTTGTGAAATTTCATTGGCCTATATTTTACGATCTATGTAATTCTATATTTGTCTATTACATTTCACTTAAAGTTTAACTAAAAAAAAAAAAGATTGGCATAGACTGGGTCATTCAAAGAGGGAAGGCACTCAAGGGGCCCTTCTTTACGGACTTTCTCTTTTCTTGTGGGAACTGACCCTTAATCAGAAGCCCCACACTCACATACCTCCCTCAAGCCATGAGTTAATGTCCTGGCTTTGCCACTTCTTATATAGACAAGATATTTAATTATTTTCTCTTGGATAAAATGGGCCCATGTGTCCTGATTGACTTCATATGATTTCTGTGTGCCTTCTTGTACGAAATCATTTAATAAATGATGACATGCTAGATACACACAATACAAGGCATTCCTACTACGGACAAGGATACACCAAAAGGAGTGTGGCCTCCTGAACATGGGTGTCTTCCCCTGTCATCATCCCAAGTGGCAACAAGGCCCCTTCTCCTTGTTTGTCACTGGCTTTGTGTCTCCTCAGAGGGAGACATGAGGCAACAGAAACTTCCAAGCGTACTTCCAGAACAGAATGGGTCCACTTTATATCTGGCCCTAATTCACCTACAAAGTCCCACTTTCCTTCTTCCTCATTACAAAACTGCCTATCTAAATCAAGCACTATTTACCTCTTTCCAGACAGAGTAGTGGCTGAGGAAGCAGCCGATTTCACCCCTGGTGAGAGGCCTAGAGGAGTAGGGATCTCGATATCCGGGCAGCATTTCAATATTCAGGGCCTTCAGCTGACTTGTGTTGAGTGCTCTGCATGACAGAGAACACGTCTGAAAATTAACATTTGAGATGTCCCCACTACAGAAGCCAGAAAGAGAGAGTTCTGGATGTTCCTCAGAGCCCTTCTGCACACTGAGAAGACTTCTCAGGTTTCCCATCATTTCTTAGGGAAGGATACAATGATGTCTTACACTTGGTATATCCCTCATAATTGCCAACGTAGTTCTAAGTATCACCAGTTTTTTAACAGTTTGAAAAGGTATTTTCCTAAGGAAGGACAAGTAGCTAATAGCATTAAATACTGGAGGGGATGAGGACAGGAAGAACTGTGAACATAACGTGTGCGTGTCCTTTCTTTGGACCTAATTTTTTTTTTTAAACTTAAGAACAAAAATGGAAGAGACAATCTTGTGAGCAGAAAGAGAGAAATGACTCACTACATATAAAGTATTCTTAACAAGATTAATAGCTGATTCTCAGAAACCATGGAGGCCAGAAGGCAATAAGCTGACATATTCAAAATGCTACCTGAAAAAGACTGTCAACCAAAAATTCTATATCTAGTCAGACTATCCTTCAAAAATAAAGGAGAAATTAAATTATTTACACATAGATAAAAGTTGAGGGTTTGTTACTAGCAGATCTGCTCTACAAGAAATGCCAAATGGAGTTCTAAGGCTGGTATGAAAGGAAATTAGAGAGCGACCTAAATCCATATAAAGAAATAAAGAGCACGGGGACATGTAACCACATAGGTAAATATAAATGACAGTTTAATGTTTTTCACTGATAACTCTTTTTTTCTCTTTAAATTTTCTGATTTAAATTATAGCTGCATAAAGCAAAAATGGTAAGGCTCTGTTATAAGGCTTTTAATATAGAAAGAAGTCATTTGTTTGACAACAAAAGAACAAAGGATGGTGAAAAGAACGAAACAGTATGGAATCTAAGCTTCTGTAGACCACTGAAATTCAGTTGTTTTTTTAATCAAGATATAACTGACTTATAACATTATATTAGTGTCAGGTATACACCATAATGACTTGATATTTGTGCATATTATAAAATGATCACCACACTAAGTCTATTTAATGTCCATCCCTTCACCTAGTTACAAAATTTTTTCTTATGATGACAATTTTTAAGATCTACTCTCTTAGCAACATTCATACATATGCAATGCATATTGTTAGCCATAGTCACCATGTGGTACATGACAGTCCCAAGACTTATCTATTTCACAACTGGAAGTTTGTACGTTTTCACCCCTTTCACCCATGTTACCCACCTTCCAACCCTGTCTCTTGTAATCACCTCTGTCCTCTGTATCTGTGAATATGGGTTTTTTTTCTCTTTAGATTCCACATATAAATGAGACCATTTGGTATCTGTCTTTTTCTGTCTGATTTATTTCACTTAGCATAATGTCCTCAAAAGCCATCTATGTTCTTACAAATGGCAGGACTTCCTTTGTTAATGGACAAATAATATTTCCTTGTATATATTTACATACTCCACACCTTTTTCATCCATTCATCCACTGATAGAACTCTTAGGTTCCTTTTGTAAATAATGTTGCAATGAACATGAGGATACATATATGGGTTGGTTTTTTATTTTTTTAGGTTGATTTTTCATTTTCTATGGATAAATACCCAAAAGTGGAGCTGCTGGGTCATATGGTATTTCTATTTTTAATTTTTTGAGGAACCTCCATACTGTTTCCCATAGTGGCTGCACCAGTTTGCATTTCTACCAACAATACATTAGTGTTCCCCTCTTGTTACATCTTTGTCAACACTTGCTATTTCTCATCTTTTTAATAATAGCCATTCTAACAAGTATGAGGTGATATCTCATTGTGGTTCTGATTTGCAGTCCCCTGATAATTAGTGATGTTGAGTACCTTTTAATGTACCTGTTGACCACCAGCATGTCTTCTTTAGAAAAATGTGTACTTAGAACCTTTGCCCATTTTTAAAATAAAGTTATTTGGGTTTTTTGTTTATACTATTGAATTATATGAGTCTTTATATATTGTGGAAATTAATGTCTTATCAGATATATGATTTGCAAATATTTTCTCCCATTAGGTAGGTTGCCTTTTCATTTTGTAGATAATTACTATATTTACTATACAGTAATTACTTACTGTATAGTAATTACTAATTTACTATATAGTCCCACTTGTTTACTTTTGCTTTTGGGGTCAAATCCAAAAAAAAAAAATTGGCACAACTAATGTGAGGACCTTACCCCCTATGTTTTCTTCTAGGACATTTGTATCAATATAAACTAGATTGCTATACATTGAAATGTTAATTGTAATCTCCATGGCAGTCACTGAGAAAATAACTAAAAAATATATAGTAAAAGAAACAAGAGAAAAAAACAGTAGAGTAGAAGTTATCTTTTTAACACAAGAAGGCAATAACGAGGAACAGAATGTCAAAAATTTCATAGTATTGTATCTCCGACAAGAGACTTGTATGAGGAACAAATAAAGAACTCTCACAATTCAACTCACTTCCCTTGGTCCACGTGGCCTATAAATAAAATTTGGGCTCCTAAGTATTGGAAGAAGTGGTTCCCCAACTCCAGTGTACCAAAGAACAGGGCTACCAGATTTAGCAAGTAAAACATGGAACATCCAGTCAAATTTAAATCCCACATAAACAATGAGTAATTTCTTAGTCTAAGTAAGCCCATGCAATGTTGGGGCAAATTTAACTGAGTGTCCTATATTTTATATTTTAACTGAGTGGCAGCCTTACCTAAGAATCAACCTTCCCTAAGAATTTGAGGCTTCTTAGATGCAGATTCCCAGTCCTAGCCCTGGAGATCAGGATTCAGCAGCCCTGGGCTGGGACTCAAGAATCTGCCTAACCCTGGAGACTCTGACATGGGTGTCCAGGCCACATTTTGAGAAACTGATTAAATTCTCCAAAAGTCATAAGACACTTCACAATAGCTTCCAGCCATACTCCTTAGAGCCATTCATATTCCAAACTTACATAAAACATGGAACTGCAGGTTTTGCAAAAATCGACGCCTTGAAATAAAGTGTCAAATAAAAGGGCAAAGGAAAATGAGATAATAAACAACAGCTAGAGCAAAACTCTTGAAGGAATTCAACCAAGTTCCCTTTGTGAATTTCCTGCCATATTCTTGGGAAACATGATCAGCCCAGGCAGGCTCTGGCAAGATCTCACGCAACAGGGTATACACATCATTGTGCATGTTCCCCCATTTATTCTCCTCCCCATTTACTCTCCTCAGGTGGCCCAGGTTTGGCGACTTTGGTCTAAATCAGGCTCTGAATGCAACTCTAAATGCATTCCTTCCAATATATTATAGGAATCTGGAAACCACCACAACCATTGCGAAAACCCCCAGAGAAAGGGGGAAATCACTTCCATTGCAAGCCTTCAGCATAATGAAGACCAGAGTTCTCTGGATGGTGACTGGATTGCAGGCCTACTCTACCTGGTGAAATTAATTTAAATGCTGCTCTCATTCATAAAGCTTTTCCCAAAGTAGGCTATGTGTGGCGGTTAGAACAGTATGTCTTCTAATGACTCTAGATTCCTCCCGCCGAGCATTAACCCTCTGTCAGAGAGGGCACCTTCCCACTCCAACCACAACTGCAATTCAAGAAAAAACCCAACCCACTTTCCATCCACAGCCTCGACAATCTTGACCTCAATCTCTTGCTCATACAGGGTGCGCAACATCCGGTCCCGCCTGTCCTTTCTGCGCTTGAGGTTGATCATGAAAATCTAACACAGGGAAGAAAAAGGAAAGGAAACACAGATTATTCAAGTTTTCCTTTAGGCTGTTTGAAAAGTTAAGTAAATGTAAGGGCCAAAGTTAGTTAGAAGAAGGAGTGGAAAAAAAAAAAAAAGGAAAACCGTGGTGAAGATCTGTTTATATTTCATATCAAGTCAAATGAGATTAATCCAAACAGAATGACTTTCAAAATTGAACCATCTGCAGTGACTTCACCCTCTCTTTGTTTCTCTGATGCTTGTTGGTGGACAGGTTTGCCCTGTTCTTGATATAGGAAAGTTCACAAAGTTACTCTTGAGGAGGCCAAGCGTGAATTAAACCCCAAACAGAAGACTCAGAGGTAGGAGGCAGTTGGGCACGTGGTTAGACTTATTAGCAGCCCCAAGTCTACATCCTGACTCTTATTTACTAAGTATTTTCCTTGGCCCAGTTCCCATGCCTCAGTTTCCTCATCTGTGAAACTGGGATGATCCTGGTCCTATCTCATGGGTTCTCAATATTAGCTATTCTTAGATTTCATATCCATTGTAATAAATTTCAAGTCATTCAAAGAATGAGAAAAATCTAATCTTAATACATTCCTTGCATTTCCAAAGGTTTCAAACAGAAATATCAAGGTCTTAATGTTGGGAGATTCTTTGCCAGAATTCTTCAACTCCCCTAGAGACAAGGGGATTTTTTGGAAAGAAGTAAAGAGAAGGGGCTCTACTCTTAGAGGCAGCCCTTTGAAGGAATAGAGAAATGGAAAGGTGTCATCTCCACATCAAACTCGTCCATGAAGTCTCCAAAAATATGCTTCCAGATTCCTTTCCCATGAGGGCTGGGTTCATCTGTAGCCCCTCATCTTCGCCCCTATGTTCCTGACGGCTGCCTGAAATACATACATATCATGAAACCACAGCAGGGAATTATGGGTAGTGAGATGGTCCTGACTATTCTCAGATTTAAGAAGCCATGGAAATACCTCAAGACTCATGAATGCTATTATAGGTAAATATGTGTATTCCCAAGGTCCTTTTGCTACAAACAATGACAAACTCACTCTAAACATTAAACTAGGCCTCTAAGAGTAGGAGATTTCAGCTGCCAGCAAGAAATACTGATGACACGTAGTCTGTAGCATAGAAAAGGAGACCCTACAGGAATAAGTAGGATGGCATTGGCTTCATCCTGACTTAACTACCCAGATCACTTTGAGGAAGACATTGAATGCTTCACGGTCCAATTCCCTTGTTTGTAAAAGGGAGAGTTGAACCACCTCACCTCACAAGAACAACACAGATTAAAATGCCAATGCTATGTGGTTTAGACAAAGCTTGCTTTATGTCAAGCCCAGAATAAAGAAGAAACTAGGTCTTGTAACCAGCCTGGGTACTGGGGATGAAGCTTTGGTTCCTTATTCTGCATATAACCATCAATATGTTCTATGTTTTACTGGATCAAAAGCCACATTAAAATTTCAACCCATCCTTCCAAAATATTCTCACTTCCATCCATTTATATAGCTCTGGGCAAAGAAACTGATGGGAGAACAAGATGTCCTCTTTAAAGAAATTATCCTCTGATTTAGGTCAAAGTGAATTCGGGGCATCATGATTTCATTACTTCTCTGATTACCTAACTGAGTTGATTTCATTACTTCTCTTGATTACTTAACTGAGTATTTATTTTTAACATAATTTCTGTGGTGACTCTACTTGCCTTGTAACTTGGGACTTCATAACTTAATGGTTGTGTTCTTTTACATTTCATGTTCTTCCTGTTTAGGATCACAGTGTGATGGGCCATGTTTCATCCCACAATTTTAAAAGATATGGAAAGGAAGGGGCATTTCCTCTCATGTGTACATGGAGCTGCCCGAGGTCACTCCAGGAGAACAAAAACAAACCCGAACAAAAAAATGAACAGAAATACAACAAAAAGTCCCCTCAAACCAGAGCCCTCTAGTCTGGAAAGACTTTAGTAAATAATAATTCAGGCCCAGCTTTTGCCAGGACAAGCGCAGTAAAAATTGTAGCCATGAAGGAGAAACACAGATGGCTTGCTCATACTTAGTGGACAGCAAACAGAGAAAGAACCACAGAGCCAAATGCAGCCCAGACACCGTCACCAAGGTCATGGAGTACTCGAAGAATGAAAAAAGCACATGAAAATCCCCCCTATCCACCATCTTATCTCTGTTCTTAGACCCGCAGCACCTCCTAGAGTTGGCATTTTCCAAAGACTTCCAGTGGGGACCCAGTCCTTACAGCCCCGTCCAAATGAAAGACCAGAGCTAGAAGATCCTGGTTTTGTCCCACTTGATTTCCCTTGGCTTGCTCCTCTGAGGAATGTGTTTATTTAATTAATTTATTTATTTTTCGAGGAATGTGTCTAAATAGAAAAATGAATCTATGTAAAGACACTTGGGTCCTTTCACCTGGAGAACGGAGGGCTGACAAGGGTTGCAGGGAAGGACAGCTCTAGTGAGACGTGAGAGCTGGTCCGGTGCGTGATAGTGGCCAAACCTCTCTGCAGCCCCGATTGTTTTAAAAAATTATTTGCACTTTATTCTAATTCCTCTCTCCCACATTAAAATCATCTCTTCTCATTCTACCCTCTGTGGAAACAGCATCATAGCTGCTAACTCTTTCCATTTAATATTCAGGAAATATTCTTTCCCATTCCTGAAGCCCAGATTCACGTCAATTTTATACAAGAATTACCAGTGCCCATCCCAGCAGCTTTTAGATGGCTGTACCTGGGGACATGTGTGATCCAGCAAAGAATGATAAACAAGGCTTTTTCTTTGACTGGAGCGATGGTGGGAGCGCACAGCACAAAGCCTGGCCTATATCATACCCAGAATCCATGGAAAAATTCTATCTCAGTTTGTGGATTCCTGAGGCACTGTCCTACCCTCTAGATCACCAAAGGCTTGAATACTGATCTGCAGCTACTTGACCGAAGGGACCCACAAAGGATTCAGTGACTTGGGAGTCACACTTTGGGCACTCCCAAGTAGCTGTAGTGTGTGTTACCAAGAGAGGTATCTCTTTATACTCCTGCTTCCTTCTTCATGCAATCAAAACTGTACAATAAATATGGCCCTTGGAGTGTTATGAAGTTCTTGCCCACTGAAAGGTAGAATTTCACAACAAAATTTTTTTTCTCTTTTTCCTTTCCCTCTCAGTCCTGCCTTCAACCTTTTTCCATGGAAGAACAGCACAGAGAAAATAAAACACAGACTGTGCCAGAATGGTTTCTATGCACTCAGAATAAAGTTAAGGTCCTCAAATACTTAAAACATTATCCTCTTTACCCTTGAATCTTGATAGAAAGGTTCACAAAATATAGGGGTATCTGCTCCTAGAAAATATAAAATTTGCTCTTGATTAAATAGTAACTTCTTTCCAACCCAATGACTAATTCATTTTCACCATGATGCTCCTTTTTTAAAAAAAATTTTTTTGCTTGAGTATCGCTGACACACAATATTACATTAGTTTTAGGTGCATGTGATTCTCTTTTTTCATCTTTTATCTTTATTTATTTACTTTTTTATTTTAAGTAACCTCTGCACCCAGCGTGAGGCTTGAACTCATGACTCTTGAGTCCAAGAGTTGCGTACTACACTGACTGACCTGGCCAGGCACCCCAAATCCTCCTTTTTTAAGATGAGAAAGCTGAGACACGATACAAATTGAGTGGTTTTCCCCAGACCTTGGTGCCTTTTCAGCCACCAAGCCAGTTTTGCTGGCTCTCAGATGTAGGATCTGGCTTGCCCTCCAATATGAACATGTAAGCATGCCACATACATGCACATGCGTGAACATGCACACACAGACACCTTTCCTACCTCATCGAATCCCATCTTGTCTGGATATTTAGGGACAACTGAAACAAACTGGGAGGGTTCCATTGGAGGACCGTCAACTGGAAGACACAAGAAACACACAGAGCGTTTTGTTAGTGAAAGGCTCAGGGAAGAGGATTCCATCCACACACCTGGAGTCTGGGAACACAGTCTGGATGTCCGGGCTGGGGATAACTGCCCGGCAGTTCTCCAGGACTGAGAGGCTACACAAGAACCCTGATGGCCAGGGTTTCCAGAATGCTTGTTCATATGCAGACTGCAATATTCACTTCATTTCCCTTAAGACTTATTTTCAGAGGAGATGAGAGTCAGTCTAGGGTAATGGTTAAAAGTGAAACCTCTGGAGTCAGATGATCTGGGTCCAAACTTTGCTCTGTGAAGATCTAGAAGAGTTAAGTGACCTCTCTGAGCTTGTCTCCTTATGTGTAAAATCAGGATAATAAAAGTATATCTCTCGTATGGGCCATGGTAAGCGCTGTGAAGTGTGTAAACCTGGCAATTCACAGACCTGTACCTTTGGGGCTAATAATACATTATATTTTAATAAAAATATTTTAAAAAGTATATCTCTTAGGGTGTTGTGAAATTTAAGTGAGACCTGCACGCAAAGCACTCACCACAGTAAATGGACACAGGAAAAATTCAGTAACTTTTCAGCTGTTACTTAATGTGGCTCATAATGAAAGACCTCAAAAGTAGGCCAGACTTCTTCTAAATAATGCTTTCTCTGTATATTTTAAAGGAGACTAGTCTGGGACTATTTTTATCCCATTCAGGCAGGTTTAGCTACAGGTATGCAAAAGGTCCTTTATTCTAACAGGAACTTGCCTTTGAGGGCCAGCCCACATCCCAAAACTTGGTACAGGGCTAACAGGTAAATTTCCAGGTAAGGGTACACTGCATCTTAAGTAATACAAGATTTACTTATTTTATACTCCAAAAAAGGTTTTCTTTACAAACTATACATTTGAGAGTTCGGAGGCCATGTTGAGTGGGGAGTCTGGAAAAGTCTTGAGGATTTTTGGAATTGCAAATCCAAAGTACTCCTTTGGTTTTCCTTAAAGGAGTAATACAGTGAGAGCTGGTCACTTGGGTGGCTTGAGGAACTGCTGGTGGTGGCCATCACTACTGTTCAGCAGTCACCATCTCCTCCACTCCAGGCAGATGAGAAGAATCACTTCCTCACACTTGAAGTTGGTCATGGCTCATGAATCTCTACTTCTCAGCTCTCCAAGCCCTCCTTCCACCCTGCCCCAGCCCACCACAATGGTCACAGTAGCAGATGTTGATAAAGGAGAAGCCACACACATTTGAAGCAGCCTAGAATCATGTGCCAGCATCTGGAGGACAGGTGCCCAGAAGGACGCGAGGACCACTATGGACTTTGCATTGCAAGAAATAGGCCATTGCTATAGGAAGCCAATGAGATTTTTGTCACTATTTGATATCCCAGTGTAACCTCTTCATCCTTTTGACTGAGATACTGTCCAAAGAGTATTATTTGTTTAATGTATCCTTCCCTGGGATATTAAAAAGAAACCACGACATCCAGTTTCACTTATCATCAGATGATGTGGAGTTCTAGAAGGTAGTGAGACGGGTTTCCTAAGTCCAACACAAGAACTGGTCTTATTCCTTCAAGCTTGACCCCTATGGTCACATTTTTGTGAATACACAGTGCCCGTGTTTCTGTTTCCATTAGAAGCTCAGAATATTTTGTTCCTTTCTGCTCCACCCCACTCCTCATTAATTTTTTTTAAATCAACAAATATTGTTGGAGGGGCCACCATGTACAGAGTTAGGCTTTTGAGAGAAAGAAACTTAGCATACAAACTCCTTCTTGTTCATAATGTTGTTGGAGGAGCTGCCTGGCTCTCCCTCCTTGAGTCTTGCAGTTGGGAGGGGGTTACATTTTGAGTTCCCCTTTTCACACTGTTGGTCTCTGTTTGGCACTCACATGGCCTGTGTGGCTTTAACAATTCAGCCAAAGAGACTGCTTTTAGCCACTTTGCTTCCATCAAACATGGGCAGTCATTGCAATCACAGGACAAGTGTCCCCCACAAGCCACAAGGGGTTGGCTTCTGAAAGCCACCATTGAGCAAAAATATGAGAAATATGTCTGGGTTTTGTCCCCAAAGACTGAGCAAAGCCACGGGGAAAGACAGGGAATGATAAAGTTAGAACTAAGAAATTAACTGTGCAAGGAGAAGGGATGTGTCTTTGCCTCATCAGAGTTGAAGGTTAGGTATATCTCAGCTTTGGTTTGGGGTCATTTCTGACTCCATCATTGATAATTTGAATCCCTCTCTAGACATAGCCCCTCACTGTGCCACACCAACTGAGACAATATGCTTCATTGGCTCCTGGATAGTTTCAAGACCTAAGAATAATAATCACAGTCATTATGACAGAGATCTTATTATCTACTGAACTCTGGGCTACACTCTTGACATATATAGTCATAGTTATTTAATTTTCACATGTCCCTATTTTTACAGATAAGGAAATAAAGGCTTCAACAACTTGCCCAAGGTCACAGAGCTGATAGAGCTGGTATTTGAACTTAAGTCTGACTCCTAAACCCTTTACCCCCACTTGGCCTGCCCCCAAAGCTGGTCCTTGGTAGTCACTGGCATCAAGCTGGGTTGGCAAGTGGGCTGAATTCACAGCTCATTTAGCCAAGTCTTTCTTCTGGGTGACCATTTTTTCTGTAGTCTACACTGGACACACACCATCCAGCAGCATACAATGCACCAGCCTAGTCATGCCCCCCTCATCAAAATATTTGAGAGATCATGTTTGTACCAAATCCTAACTAAATCATAATCATTTAATCATAAACCTAAAGTTGTTCTGAACTTCTTCGATTGCTGTAGTTACCACCCTAACTCAGATTCTCGCTCACCATGATTGGGCTACTTTTTAAAATTTAATTAATTAATTTACTTCTTTTAGAGAGGGAGAGATCATGAGCTGCTGGGGATGGACAGAGGGAAAGGGAGAGAGAATCCTAAGTAGGCTCTGCATTCAGCATGGAGCCCAACGCTAGGCTGGATCTCATGACCTTGAGATCATGACCTGAGCCAAAATCAAGAGTCAGACACTTAACCGACTGAGCCACCCAAGCGTCCCCATGCTTGGGCTGTTTTAATATTTTCAAACTCTCATGCACTTAGTCTTGCCTTGTCCTAACTCATTATGCACACTATTGTTAAAATAGTCTTCTTCAAGCACGATGCTGTTCTCAACAACAACGGTCACACTCAACACTTTGCAATTTGTTAAGTGCTTTCATATTCATGACATCATTTATCCTCATTTATCTTTTGGTTGTTTTTATAGATGAAGAAATTGAGACCCACCCAGATGAGGACTAGCCCAAGGTCAAATAAGGAGTAACCAGTGCCAAGATCCAATAGTGAGCAATTGGTAAGATCACTGGACCATCCAACTTCGTGTCCAATAATCTTAATAATCTTTACATGACATTCTGTGGCTTCAGAATGTTGTTACTGAGAATGGGCACCTGAGATCTCCCATCAGCTCATGCTCTGACTCGCAAGACCAATCCCCACATGCCTCATATAACCCTTTGACTTCTTTCACCTTTATAAGAAGTAGCCTCCAACTTTCTGTGCAGGAAGCACATTCCCAAATTTTCTATATGGCTCCTAACATACAAAGTAAGTGAGTATGGGTAGAGCAACGGACACAGTGCTTCCTGCGAGCCTTAGCAGGTGTTACACCCCAGCTCCCAGCCCACCCCAGCTCCTCACTCCGCTTTCTGAAACTCCAGTCTGTAGTTCATCAACTCTTTGACGTTTCAGTCCCTTCCTTTCTCTGAATGTCTCTTCACCTTTTTATTTTAACTAAAACTTGGTTTCCCTTTCACCCATCAGAGTAGAAGCTGATTTTTCTTATCTCCCCCAAACCGCCCCCCAAACTGTTTCCGTTTCATCCCTCAAAACTCCCAGTTTCTTGAAGTGTGTATTAGCCCCCTCTGCCCCCTGGTCATGCCTCTTCAGCCACTGATGATGACAGCCTTGGCTCACAGTCTTGCTGTCCTTACCATCATTCTTTTTTTTTTTTAAGATTTTATTTATTTATTTGACAGACAGAGATCACAAGTAGGCAGAGAGGCAGGCAGAGAGAGAGGAGGAAGCAGGCTCTCCGCGGAGCAGAGAGCCCGATGAGGGTCTCGATCCCAGGACCCTGGGATCATGACCTGAGCCGAAGGCAGAGGCTTTAACCCACTGAGCCACCCAGGCGCCCCCTGTCCCTACCATCATTCTTAAAAAACTTCAGCATCCGTGTGGTGATCCACCGGAAGACCGGGGTTCTAGTTCCTGCACCAACAATCATTCTTTCAGTGACCCACTACCATGTCCCCATCACCTCTTCATGTCCTCAGGTCCATCGGTATCCAACCTAGATTTCTTGGGCTGGCACTCTAACCCCCAACTCCTTTAGAAAGACTCTTGATTTGCTTCCCTGGATCTTGCTTGGTAAAATCCCAGGCCTGCTTGAACTTGATTATCTACTTACTCAATCCCAAGAACACTGCAAGAAAAATTCACACAGTTGTGTTGACTGAATCACTTTAAAATCACAACCACAGATGTCACACTGGCACTCGACTCTGCCAAATGATGCAACTATGCTTCCATAGTAAATTTACTTTCCCACTCTCCGAGCGATCTGTTTTATGCCTTGTCCTCTCTCCCGACACCGCCAGCATTTCTCTCGAGCTGATGAACTATATACCTCATAAAGAAAATACTCAAAGTATACCTACCTCTTCCTTCCACCTCAAGCCCACAAACCCAGCTGCATCTGTACCTACACATTCTGCCTTCCCATCTACTAGTGTGCAAGAAGCATCTCTGTTCCCACCTTGGACAACGTCTCCAATTCCGTCCTAGATTACAACGCCTCTTGTTTTCTCAAGGATTTCAGCCTTACAACTGCCTTCTTCTCTTCTACATCACCCAGTTCTCCTTATATATTGGATCCTTCTTGTTCATATATGAATATGCTAAAAATCTATCTTAAAAAGAA